TATTAGCCGATTATCAAAACGAAATGGCCACAATGCTAACTACTACCTCACGAAGAAGCGTAGATCAACACTGGACAACCATTGAAAACTCAATACACTCAGTCGGTTTAAACAGTTGTGACCTGACCTGCTGAGTTGTAAACCACTGGGTATCCTCCAACTCTCTCAGACTTCCAGACGTCCGCGAGACCTGGTGGACGCTACGTACAGAGGAGATGAAATCAGCGGCTGGGTGTGGAAACACCCAGCAACTATTCCAGTTCATCTGGGCTACAGGCCCCAAAAGACGGTATGTTAGTGGAACAATCTGCGAAGTAGACTGCACGCTAATAAACAGCCTTCACCGACGCTTGGAAGCTGGGAAGTTCATATGGCAGTTTAACCAGCCCCTTCCCGCGCGCTGGCTTCCCCAGGCAGTTCTCACCATAGTCACTATCCACGCGACCGTCACAGAAGCGGAGATCAGAAAGGAACCGTAATTCCTGAAACGGCACAAGGCAGCTGGATCAGATCGTCTGCCACCTGCCCTCTTTAAAGATGGTGGAGAGGCTCCCGTGAGAGACCTTGTGAGACTGTTCTCGAAGACCTGGGAAACCGAAAATATACCCCACACATGGGGAGAATCGATTGTCACACCCACCTACAAGAAGGGCTATCGTAACGCCTGATCCAACCACAGGGGTATAAGTCTGATTCCAATAGCGCTGAAGCTGCTGGCGTCCGTTTGATTAAGCAGTTATGCCCATTCCGTGAGAAGCGAACCGGCTAGGAGCAGGCCGGGTTTCGTGCACGCTGTGGCTGCGTAGATCAAATCTTCACCCTCCGTCAGCTTCTAGAACACCACCACGCATACAGACGGCAAACCATTGTCATGTTTTTAGACATCAAAGCGGCTCTGGACTGTATCGATCACCCCTCACTGTGGAACTGTTTGCGAAGATACGGAGTACCCGAGAAGTATGTTTCATTCATTAGAGTGCTTTATCACCAGACCTCGGGGAAGGTCAGGGATTATGGAGAACTTTCACCCTCATTTCCTATCACCAGTGGAGTGGGACAGAGTTGCCGTTTCTCTTTGACTTTACCATAGATAATGTCCCACAAAACGCGTTACATAACGCAAAGAACGCTGGCGTCGAGCTTTGTTCTGAAGACAGAGTCGTGCACTTAGAGTATGCCGATGATACTGCCTTACTGGGTGACAACGCACCAACGATTCAAGAGTCGCTGAACCGTTTGGCCTTTGAGGTTCCTCGCTATGGTATGTTTTTTGCACCTTCAAAGTGCAGTGTTGTTACAAGAGTGGCAGGAACCCATTCCTGCATTTTCGTTGGGTAATGACACTCTGGAAATAGTCGAAGGCTCTGTTTTACTGGGGAGTTGCAAAACGGCTGGCGGAGGAGTGGGCGAGGACATCTCTCAACGCCTGATCAAAGCTAGATTAGCGTCTGCAAATCCGCAGCATATCTGGTACCAATGCGACATATCCTTTCACTGACAGGGCGTGAATTGCGCAACGGTGCGCACCGTGTTGCTCTACGGCTGTGAGACCTAGTCTCTCCGAGCAGATCACGTCCAACGATTATCAGTCTTCGCCAATCGTTGTCTGCGCAACATCGCCCGCGTATGGTGGGAGCATCACGTGAATAACGATGAAGTCAAACGACGAGTGCTAGGATCGAAAAGTCTTCCTTTGAGCAAAATAATTTCACGGTATCGTCTTAGGGCACGTCCTACGAATGCCTGAAAAACGTCTGCCACACCGTGCACTATTCGCAGATCGCGATCCAGGCGAGAAGAAACAGCTAGGTGGACAGGCTATGATATGATGCAGAGGGTTAAAGAGATTATGCTTGGATCTGGCTTCCGTTGGGGTTGCCTGGCTCCCCGACTGTGGACCCAAAGATTCAGATTGTCTTTGGCTTGAGACACTGCGTGATACAGAATCCAACCGAAGTCAGTGGCGCGAATGCATCCATCCTCTCCAGTCTACAATCCCAAAAACAAAAAGCTTAAAACGGCGTGCAGTAAACAAACAAAATATTTGTTATTTCCCCCAAGTTGACTGTTTTGTTTTCCCTGCTTCTGTACTCATATTTTTCGTTAACCCATGGTGATATTTGGTGATATATATATGTGCGGATCTGGCAACTGGATGTGTCAGCACGTGAACCCAATCAACCAGTTCTAGCTGGGGCTACCTTTGAATAATATCTTTGAATTTTCCCTGACCAGAATTCAATGAATCACAATACCTCTGATCATTTCATTAAACTATCGCTTTTATGGCTATCGCCGATGAAGACCCTATACCAGGAGATGAATCTTCAGAAATTAAACAGAAAATTAGTCTGGCTATGCTTGGAGGGCAATATTTTAGTCCTTACCTGGCACAAGTGAGTAATGAGAGGATGCGTGACATGAGACGAAGTGTTAAAATTGAAACACAAATGGATATCAGCACGGAAGACGTGTGTTCAAATCCCAAGACCAACACCGCCTAAATTTCACACTCCTCCTCCACCTCAACAACAACAACAACAACAACAACAACAACAACAACAACAACAACATAAACGAGGTGGAAATGAACAATTGTTACTGTTCGACAATGAGGCCTTCTAAGAATGGGTTCTACACTGGATTCAGTGTTGTTTTTTCATTGCATCAGACCGAAAGTCGACTAAAATCTGCTGCTGCATCATACATACTACTTACCTTNAGTATTACATTTTCCAATATTACTTCTTTTAATACCCCCCCCCCACCGAGCCGAAGACCCTCTCTACCGTCTACGTCAAGAGCAAACAGGTCCACTTTGGATGCTATCGCCTCCCTTGTTCATAAAGCATTCGAGAAATCTGTGAGATGTTTTGCCGGAGATTTTTCATCGACCTTCAACCCTGTCCAGCATTCCCTCCTACCTTGTAAAATGGAATCATTTGACTGCCCTCGGTACCTACTGACGTAATGCGTTGACTACTTCACAATCAGAACTCAGCATACTCCGGTCGTGAATAAATCGTGGAGTGTTCAAGGGAACAGCACTTTCTCCGTTCTTATTTTCCACCTTCATCAATGGCCTGTTAGCGAGTTCACTAGCCAATTATTTGAATACGCTAACAGCGTAGCCCTTTGCAAAGCCATTTTTCTGTCTGAGGACCTTCTAAATTTCACCAGAAATCTATCGCATATCCATGAATTTCCCGTTCGTTCTGGATTGTCTCTTAATTTATTCAAATGCTCCCAATGCATTTTGATTTTCACTTGATGCGTTTATTCCCGTGATCCCTCGGTCAGAAACACAGATACACTAACTAGGGTAGATTCTGTGAAGTACTACGGAGTTACCCTTGACACAAACTTAAAATGATCATTCCATAGTTACAACCATTTGAAGAAACTTCGAGGATTTTCTTTTCAACATCGAAGACTTAGGCAGTTCAACACCAAACCAAAACAATCACTTCGCTTTTTGTTTATCCATGCGTTTTTCCAGTTCCCCCGTTCCCCGGTGGTTTTTTCTGCTGATCTGTTCAAGAAAGATTTCAATATTCTTCGTCACGGTTTGTCAATTGTCAGCCGTGAGTCTTACTGACCTGTTCATGAGCTATCTAAAAAAAGAAAACGATGTGAACTACACTTTAAAAACGTTTGTACAGAGAATCCTCTCTGACCCCACACTCACGCTTTTCGTGGGGTCTGTCCAAATGCCGCTCGCACACATCAACATGTTCGGCAATATTGTTTATTACCCTCGCACATTAACCTTCACATAAATTTCCCCCCAGTTCCTTGGCTAGCTATTGTTCGTGTAAACTGAGAGCGCTTTTGTGCTGAATTTCTCAGCAACCTCTTTGTGAAGGTGAAATGTTTTGCTCGCATTGTTTCCTTCTTTCTACGAGATGATGTGTAATTTTTGACTGAAATTCGGCCATTTGTCCACGAAAAACTATGCAAATACACTCACAAATTACCCACGGATGAATTGATTTTTCTTCACCAATAATGTTTTTTACCAATCACGTAAGAAATGAACACTACGCCTGCAACTTCGTATTCGTAATCGTTTTTCGCATACCGTTGAGGTAGAAAGTTAGCATTCGTAGTACACTGAGCTCTACAGGGGAAAATTTGTGAATTGAGAAAACAGAGAAAGAGAGAAAGAGGGATTCGAACCCGACCACAAAAAGACCCGTATCACCGCAGAACATTTGCCAGCCGGGCAACAAAGTCACATAAAATTGACACAAATTTTTTTTCAGAATTCCGTTACCAGCTCGAGGGTATACATAGATGTTTCGACTTCGCTCATCTGATGGGGCTTACCCTCTGGAGCTTGACAGGCGGACTTTATGCATCAGATGGAATCACTTCAAGGCTTCGTAATTGGTTTGAATCACGATATGGGATGCGCTTCATTTCTTTTAGTCCGGCCATTAATTCAACATACACAAATATCGAAAAACTATGGGCAGTACACATACACTTATCAAAAATTTAAAAAACGCGATAGCTTCAATGCATGCGTGCAGCTGTTTGCGTTGGGTTTCAGCAGGCATATAGTGAATGAGACACATTTGTTTAACAATAAAATCACTTAATCAATTGCTCACCTTCTCATCCCGGTTCTGGCCGAATTCATCCGGTCGACGATGACCACCGGATCGTCTGGCGTAGTCAAATCTCGTTCCACGTGACCGCGATGCTCGTCCAGAAGGAACCGGGATCCGATGTGTGGTGATTTCCGCATGACCATGATACGTTTGACGTCGCATCCGAAGGGTGGAAAACGGTTCGGTTTCACGCAATTCCAACTCCAGACGAGCGTTGCTCAGTTCAATCGATTCACGCAAACTTTGTAGTGTTTCGATCAGACACTCGGTTTCTTTCGGACCAAGCACGGCCATAGCCAGTAGACGTTTTCGATCAAATGTGGATATGTGACGTCGTTTGATGTGCTCAATTGCGGAACCCCAACGATCCTTGTCCGCGGCTGTATCCGTGGCTTTCAGACCCAGTTTTCTCAGTTTAGACCATTTTGTTTGTTTGGTTGCAGTGGTTGGTTGTCGTTCTGTACCCAGTTCAGTTAGCAACTGTACTGCACTGGTGGGTTTCGTTAGACCAAGATCTCTCGGTCGTTGGATATTGTGTCTACTGCGGACTGGAGATGTCTCACTGGGCAGTTGTAGAGTATCTGTGGTAGGCAATGGACGAATCGGAACCGCCTGCATTGCTGTGGTATCCGGCACATATGCTGCTCGCCGTGCATCTGGACCGGTTCGAGCGGAGTGTAATCTCCACTGGTCACCACTGGGATCTCTTACTTCTGGCGCCACAGTCTGATCGCCTAAGATTAGTCGAGATGCTAGTGGAGGTGCTACTGTTGTACTGAGCTGAGCACCGACAAAAGTTGGTGCCATAGTAGTAGTATCTGGGGCCA